GATGACGCCCTTCCTCGGTATCGCCGTTTGGCCGGTACCGTTGCAGCGTTCAATTTGTTGAGCGCGTGCACTATTTGCCATTCTCCTGTAGCCTTTCGCACACAGGAGGTCGGAGAGCTATGTGGAAATGTTGATTCCCTCACATGACCAGACGCTGGCGATCGTCAAAGATTTGTCGATCGCAAGTACCTGTTAACGAGGCAGTGTCCACTGCTTCATGACATAGTATTTCGAACCGGGTTTCAGTTCGATCTCATGCCTAGTGCCTTTGTCCTTGGGCAGCTCGCATAGCACGGATGCCGGTAAACATCCCTGAATTCCACCAAATCACTATACAAAGTATTTGTCTTCGAAGAAAAAAAATCAGATAAAGACGCGTATCGCTCAATCCGGGTATTCTCATCGAGGACACTCTCGTCCATCGACGAGCTACTGAAAACCCGTTCGTTCTCAGCAAACACGCGTGCCGACCGAATATCGGCGACGCACTCGTCCTCTGTGACAAGTACGAAGATCTTCTTGATCTTGTCACGACGCAGATCTCGCAAGAATCTTTTGGATTCTAGCGTTGGCAACTTGAATACCTCCGATTCTAAATTCGGAGGCACAACCAGATCAAGTGTAAAAGCGCCTGCACTCGATCCGTCATTCAGCAAGACATTAGATGCCTCGGTGCTTTCCTGGGGAAAAACACCTGCAGGTGGTTGGAGAAAAATAACATTAACCAATGATCATCGAGAGTTATCACTCTCACGAACGCTGGAACTTATTCCATCACGTGTAATGACTGTGAGTGTACTACCACGATCACGACATCTTTGATCGACTCTCTTTCAGTCTATCGGGCTTGCTCTATGATCGACTCACTGCTAGTCGATCTCGCTTCATCGCGTTGTTCATCCTAAACAACCCTAATCTCTCTTCTTGGATGCACCCTTCTTGGTGTGCATCCGTGCTCCAGTCCACTCGACCTCTTCAAGTGGTGAACCTATGGTTCAGCATGTGTCTCTATACAGGTGCCATAGCTGGTTCCACAGTGTAGTGGCCTTCTACGCTGTGATCTTGTGCAGTCGTACTAACGACCGTACCACAAGTGAGGCCATTTCACTTACTCGTAGTATATCCACACGCTTGTGGACGCTCCAAGACGTTCATCAGATGGCCATCTGACAAACTAACGGCAGGGCATCTCACGGATCGATGCTACCAGCTGATCCATGGATGGTACTTTCCAAGCCATGGCAGACCGAGGATGACATCTATTTTGTCATCCAGCTACAGTACGATGAAGTCATCATCATACTGCTTTCCTTCTAGCGTGTCGTGGATTCCTACTACACGTTTGCTCAACGTTACGGATGCGCCGTAATAAGGCACACCGTCATCCTCGTTGGAGGGAACTCTCGCTAACATAGTTGAGCCCACTATCCACTAGCGACAGGCGTCGAATTAAACTGTTCGATGCCCTACAGTCAACTAGGGCGCGAAGTGACATTCGGCTTTCCACCTAATTTTCAAAGTGATGAAGGACTCCTCACCACTAGGGGCAGTAACACAAAGAGACTGTGCGTTGGGAGCAATCTTTGAAAAGAGTCCTGCAAATTCTCTTGACGATTGCTGGTTTTGCAAGGTACGCCGCCCCTACTGACCTTTTCCGTTTTTTGGCGGTCCAACTTGCTGTCGCGGTTTAGCGACATGGTAATACCCGCGCCTTGACCATTCCTCGGACGGCGGCGGTCATCACTTCCTGTCTTCGGACGTGTTGCGGTGCTCGGGACACTACACCCGTGAGCGTAGTGTCCAATCTTCTGACAGCGATGGCATCTTGCCGTTCGCTTGTGACTCGAAGAGCGAGAGTTCTCGCTCTCGATGTAACAGAGGTCCGTTGGTTCGGGACCTCCTGTTTCCTGTCGTCTTGCCAAGCGATAGTTTAAAGGGTTAGCCTGCGACTGTTTCAGGCTGAAGTCTTCTTGTTCAGCATACGCCATCGCCTTTTCCAGCGTATGGAAGTCCTCTTTGAACATGTAGGTCTTCACCGGTCCATCTACAAGGCCGTAGATGAACACGTTGATGATTGTGTGCTCATCAACAAGGTTTTCCGTGACGCTACTCGCAAGGTAGCGTAGGTGTTGTACGTAATCGTGCATATCACGCTCACCTTGTTTGAGCCTCAGGATTTCAGAGCGTGCTCTAAACTCGGCTCGTGGCTGATCAAACGTCTCTTTGAGCCGAGACTTCAAGATCTCCAACGACTCAAACAAGTTTAGGTCGTGAAGCTTGAGCCCTAAGGCCCAAGTCTTTGCTCGTCCTGTCAAATTTGACAGGGCGAGGGTGACTTGCATCTCGTCACCCTCGATGTGACAGGCCCTGATGGCATCGTCTAACTCGACGAACAATCTCAAAAGAGAATATTTATCGGCTTCTTTATACCTTAAAATATCAATTTTTAAGGTTTCAGGTCACGTGTGTGCGTCGGCTCGCTTATCGACTGATGAGAGCCTTGCTGTTGTAGCAAGGCTATCTTCTGTCGTCCGACGGCAATTTCCCCATGTAGAAACTTGTTGATAGCAGCATGTTGTTGGTCTCTGCTTGGAGACTCCAAAATACCACTGATGGCGGGTTCGCCCACGAGCACACTCATACGGCCGACTACCTCCCATTCTGAGTCACTCAGATGGGAGTAGACTTCACGTGTGACGTGAAAGCTGTCGTCTTCTACGTCCAACATGAACATGTTGGACGGACACTAAGTAGTCGTTGGACGGACTACAAAGTGCTATCAGGTGTAACGGGGCACCCTTTGTTTGGGATGCAACATGACTTCACGTACACTCGTACGTGCAGAGGAAGCAAATCTACTCAAACAGCTCGCTTGAGTAAAGGTTAAAGATAACTGTACATGATATAGTCAAGCTATCAGTAGAACTTCAGTCTTTATTTTACTATGTTAAACTACGCCGTCGCAGACGACAACCTGCTCACTACTCATTAAGCGCGTCTAGTATCGATTTGTGGTCATCTTGGCTGATATATCTTTTATCAACCAATCTTTGAGCAGCGCATGAATTTTATCCTAAAAGGGGATCATATTCCTGCAATATAATCCATCTCGGATAATATTGGTAGGGAATTGTCATGCTAGACTATATCCCTATTGACACCGTTCGGTGTCAATATCATGTAACGGGCTACTTCGTTACATTGTGAGCATATCGTGCTTGTCCTGACATAATGTTTATACTTGCTAATGAGCTTACGTAAACTTTTTTGTAATCGGGGCATCTCGTTACATTGTATGTGTGACGGCGCACTGCTAACCTTGTACTGACATAGTACAAGTTTTTAGTGCCCCGTTACTTACTGTTTTCAATTCTGGCTAGGGTACATGCACAGGCAGTAATCACTGTGACAAGAGACGGCTTCGACCATATACATGGTGGTGGCACATATATTTAAATCGCACATGTAATGGTGTGGTGTGCAACAGTTAAGTTGATGCTGGTAGCCAGTCTGTTGGTCACTACTCGCGCAAAATTGAGGTAATTTCTTTATGTACGTATTCTGCTTTTATCCTGAATCGTCCTCATTTTAGTCTCACTTGAGCCCTACACGGAATATGCGGTCGTTGCATGATGCTAACAAACACACGTTACTCCCTGGCAGAAAAAAATTGTTGCAGCGACACCCCAACTGCATCTACATTAGCACCAATTCACCTAATGGTTCAATTACTTCACATTTTGCGCCTTCGGTCAACAACGACCAAGTGATGGGAATCTCCAAAGAGTCGGGTGACCGGTCCTCTTACCCTGATTGGGAAGTCCTTTTTGCGCACCACGCAATCAGCTGCTCATTGCGTGGTGCATGGTGAGGACTAAAGCTTTATTATTGTTTTTAATAGAGAAGTGCGCTGAGATAGCAAAAGCGCAATCCTAAAAATGCTTAAGTATAAACTTAGTTAAATATGCCCTGCATTTTTCAAATGGTGTGGAGAAGCACAACGTGTGGTCAAATAAGCGGTTCTTTGTTTATCGACGTACAAACAAGATCAGCCTTTACCTTTTTGTGCTTATTGAGGCGACAACATCCATTTCGATCCGGCTGTGTACCCCGTGTGTGCATTTTATCCTACCATCAATGGTAAAAACACCTGCAACATGCATAATATCTTACACAACCGAAAGCGCTAATTTCACCTTGGACATGTCTCCCACTACATAAAAACTGCGCTGACTCGCGGTGACGACGGCGTTCGGACTCCTATAGTGACTTTTGCCGGTCTTTAGTGCTGGTGTTGCGACTTGCTCGCTAGAGCCGGCAGATGACGGGGCTAGAAAAAGATCTCCGCTGAACACTTGTACCGCTCTCGCGGCTCAACGTGAAGACCTGTCTGCACAAAAGTGGTGAGGAACCAGGGGCAATGTTCAATTGTACAATGTTCCTTGTGGTTAACATCCTCGTACTACAATGAAGGCCGCCCCCCTGGCAGTTGCGTGACTCTTAACGGTGTAAGCGCGTAATCTAGGGGTCTTCCACTCTCATTCTATGGTTCCTTTCGATTCACGTTCTGTGATGCAACACATCAACGACCGGTGCCCCGTCCGCACACCACAAAGACAAACTAAACAATTTCCTTAAAGCAGTCAATATCACGTAATGCAATTCTATACTTATTCTCCGTCCAAGGGCTCAGTCCGCTACAGTAAAGCGTGCACTACGCTGCAGCGTAGCGGGATGATACGAAGCAATGGAACAGCCCAAGTCGTCCAACTCGTCTGCCGCTACACTACCGAAACGTCAATGACACCGTCCAGTGCTGACAAGAGACCGAAGGGCGACAGCGCAATCAAATGGCGCGCTCCAACGCGCAGCGCAGGACAAGAAATGACACTCTCGTCCTTTTACACTCTCTTCAGTTGCAAGAAAAGGACGATAAACCCTTCCACACCACGGCCCACACCCCATCGACTTGGAACAGACACAACTCACGCCTTCACCACTTAGTTAATCCGCGCCACTTTGCTCGGCACAACCACCGGGTTGTCCTCCACCAACTTGCGCTTGGCCGCCGTCTTAAAATTAAACCCGCACTCGTGCTCCTCCGCGTACCGATGCTTGCTGCAGAACGTGAAGCTGCAGCGGCATGTGACGGCCGTCAACCCAACCTTAGCCTTACACTCCCAGCAGCGTCGGCGGTTCACCTGCGCCACGTGTTGCAGTCCCATATGCTCCTGTCCAGGCTCCGTCTCCCCCTCGCTGCCCGCCACCGGAGTCACGCGCGCAGTCGCAGAGCGCGTCGACGACTTGGAGCGCTTGAGGCAGCTCTTCCGGAACGTCAGAGACGTCTGGGCGCTCTGCAGTGCGATTGGCGACGGCGACAGCACGTCGGACGACACGATCGCGCTGGCGGGAGAGACAGCGCTCGGCAGACAGTCGCTCGATGTCAGCGTCGGCGTCGAGGCCACGGCAGAGGAGGAGGACGAAGCGGTCGCAGTTGTGCTGGCAGACGAGACGCTGACGCTTGTGGCGGCCGGCGCGCTCGAAGGCGTCGAGGTCTTGGTGACCATCTCGGGAGCGTCGGGCGTGGGCGTTTCGTCGAAAACCGAGGGGGAGCTGTGCGCCATGGAGCGAAAGCGGAAATGAGGGAGAATTTCGGAAAGTCTGCGCGAGGGAGAAGGAGGGGAGGGGCAACGTTGCTAAAAACTCTTCTGGGACAGGGGCACCCAAGCATACAAAAACGCAGTGTGTAAAAACTCGAGGAAGCCGGGGTGGCGTAACGACTGCGAATTTTGGCAAATCGGGCGACTCTGCGAAAAAGACTAGTGCAACCGACCAGGCGTGTACAGAGCGGATGGACTGCGCTGCTGCTACATGCCGCAAACGACGGCAGGCGACCATGCCACAACAAAAGCTTCGCGAGAGAAAGAGCATCCTTGCCGCTGCTACGACGAGGCGCTGCTCTGCTGGATTTGGCTGCTAACTAACGAAGCGCACCCAAGGCAAGCTGTCTACTCGTGTAATGTCTCTCGATTCTCTTGGTGACAGATGCGGCCGATACGTCGTCGCTGAAAACGCAGCGTATGCGGCTGGTTCGACGTGAAAAGGGCAGCTGTCGGCCACAGTGGCGCTTAGAGGAGACTCGCCGCAGCAGTAACGTTGAATGCTGGATGACCACATCGTAACCGGATGGATGTATGTACGGCTTGTATTTTACTTGTGCCATGCAGCCCTAGCCCTACGGACAATCGAAGGATGTGCTTAAACGTTCTTTGTGAAGATAGACGTCAATACTATAAGTAAGTTAGAGTTGAAACTGATTTTCACTTTGCAAAGCGATCGGAGCAACTGACCGTCGCCGACAAAGCGGGAGAAGAGAAGCCTCAACTGGTTGAGCGCCAAAATTTTACACCAGTGTCCAATCAAAAGCCACAACGTCGTACTTACTGCACCAAAATAAAACAAGTAAAGGGGTTTACATAACATTTGGGTTGACGATTGTACTTTGTAGTTTCGTGTCCTACAACCTCGCATTCGATATAGACTTTTTGACATTGTTTCAATCGTACTGATACGCTGATCGTTCGTTACCACAGGGTGGCTCAGTTGGAAGTGAGCCTTTACACGACATGCAATTCGTCGCGCCTCATGTTCTGATACACTTGCATCATCGAGTTCAGTACGAGTCTTAACCGACACGTCCATTATGCCAGCTATGCAGTCGTTTGTAAATTAAATGTGTAACGGGGCACCCTGAAGCTTGTACTGGTGACAGTACAAGCTACTTATTCTGATGACAGAATAAGGCGGTGCCTCGTAACTTCACGTACACTCGTACGTGCAGAGGAAGACGGTAAGAAGAAGCGAGTACTTGGTTAAAGTAAAAAGTAGAACTGTATTTATAATAGTTAATGTCTGCAATAAATCACTATTTATCTTCATCTAACTATGTCTGAATACAAATGTGTAAATCAACTATCTGCTCACCACTCATTGCGTGCGTCTGTCGTGGCGCGTCTTCGTTGGTTGATATAATGGCCTATATCAACCAATTAGGAACTACTCGTAAGTGCTACAGAATATTTGTCCTTATGACAATATTCTGAGAATATAACTCTTATAGTTATATTCTATTAACAATTTCTTATAAATTGTTATGTAACGATTCACCCCGTTACATCACCCCCCTCCCTTAACCATCAGTCACTTTAGTGACTGATTGACTAAATGGATACTCGTCTCAAATCATTTGGGACAGGGTTTACACTTGTTGGTCCGCGTCCACTTTCCAACATCTCATTGCATGGTTAACAAGCCCATGCGATGCGCGAACAAGACCGCCGAGAGCGCGTCTGCACGTCTCTGTGCGGACGCCGAAGCAGAAACCACAGCAACTGATGTATCATCGGTTGCTGAAGCGACTCAGCCTGTGTCACCTGGTGATGCAGGCGCTGGTCATGAAGACACTCGTGTCTTCACAGAGTACGAGCTCGGTGTCTCATACTCTCCTGATACGGATGACGGATCCGTATCGACGGCGATTGAATCTAAGCCGCCAGCCAAGCATGGCATAGACGATGCTATGCGTCGCATCATCTTTGGTATATCTGATGAATCAGATGAACCATCGCCGAAGCGAAGGCGCTCGAGGTCGCGAAACTCGGGCGCTAACAGTGGTGTCGGTTCTCCTATGGACACCACTTCGCAACGAGGTGCCAGTACTTCTGTCGGCACGTCGCAGGAAGAGCGGGACCGCAATGTGTTGCGTCTCGCTCCTGAGAAGAAGGCATGGATGCCTCCTAAATCAGTCATGGATCACTTGTCGGCGACGACGAGTGATCGTTATCGAACACGGTTGTTCGATTCGTCAAGGATCCATCACCTTGACCCCAGCGCGAAAAACTATCGCGCTGAACATGAATTCTTCATCGATGCTTTCTTTAGACATCGATGGTACAGTGGGAATCACAAACGTGATGGTCCCTCACTACTTCAGGCGTGGAACGCCTACATCCATAACCTCGAGGATGTAGGTCGTGACGCTTGGAACGACAAACTTATCAAAGCTCGTGATAAGTTTGAAAAGCGAACCCCGACAGGTGCACGCTACAAGCTGCATCGTCTGTCAAGGGAGAAAGGATTACCCTGCCTCTCTTGGGGAGACTCGTGCCCATGTTGTGTGAACAACTCTGCACGAGCACCTAATGAGGCTTACCTTCTTACCAGCCCGTGGTGGCGCGTACGTGTCTCTACTGAGATGTACGAAGGGATTGACAACCTGAAATCCCTTTACGACCGTGCCGGGAAGACTTTCTCTGGCGGTCATTCTGCGGAACAGGATGTGCCGCGTCGTACTGCTCAACCAGACCCAGTACGTCGATCATCAGTTGGGAGCGGGGCTCCCAAGAATCCCAGGACGGGGGATAGCCGCGCCACCGGACGAGATAACTCGTCCGACGTCCGTTCACGTCGCGGTGGTTCAACAGTGCTCAACTAGATAGCGCTGGCCACCGCGAGAGTCCTCTAATGGAGGTGGAGGAGGAGGAAAGACGCTCTCCACACGATCATGTGGATCGGTGTGTTCCCGAGAGCTTCTTTGATTGCGTAACGCAAGGGTTACGCGACGATCTCGAGCATGAGCGGAATAGGCGTCTCCAAATGGCGGACACTGCCTCGAAGCATCGAGCTGAGTTTGCCTTTGCTCAGCTCGAGAACGAGAGATCTCTGACATCTCTTCGTGACGAGCTTAGGGTAGCTCGTGGGATTGTTGATCGGTCTCGGGCTGAGATAAATGCTCTTCAGACCCTTGTTGACGCCCACCATCGGGAGCACAAGGCTCTTTGCGAGACGCTTGAGCGCAAGGGCGTTCTTCCTCGGAAGAAGCAGCGTACTGATGGTACGGCTTAAGCCGACCAACGTAAAACGTGGGATGCTTTCGCATCTTACGTGGCAGTTCGATCGTGTATGCGTTGCCTAGGCGATGCAATACACGAAATGGGCCGATGTACTTGGGTAGTAGTTTACTGCTACCCAAGTTAGTCACTACATGCTTTGGTAGATTAACCGTAGACAGTAGGACTAAGTCACCTTTATTAAATAAAAGAGTGTTTGCCCTTCCATTCTTGTCAGCGTTTTGCTTTTGCTTATCCACCGCTTCGGCGATGGAGTCTTGCACAAAACGGACTACCGTTTCACGAGCCAGTATGAACTCATCTGATGACTCGTTAGCTTCAGTTTGCTGTGAGCGCACTGCAGCAACATAAACCTTTTCTTCAGTGAGGGCTTCCGCACTCTCACTGGGATAATCTTCTTCAGTGAGGGCTTCCGCACTCTCACTGGCATCATCTTCTTCAATATCGATGTTATCGATATCGGCATCAAACGCAATGACCTCTTCGTCAGAGCGTGATGAGCGTGAACCAATTCGGTTTTTGCTCGCGCGAATCCCTCCCCCCCTTAAACCAGGGTTACACTCTAGTAAGGTGGGTACACGCGGATGGCGCAAGCCATTCACGTAAAACGGTGTATGTGTCGTGGACGCATGCACCGAGTTGTTAATGGCAAACTCTACCATTGGCAAAAACTCACTCCAACTCTTAAAGGAGTGTACGTATCCTCGAAGTATCTCTTCAAGGACACGATTGGCACGTTCCGTCTGACCATCTGACTCTGGATGATCAGATGTCGACATCTTCAAGCGCGTTCCGAGTGATTTGAACACGGAACGCCAGAAATCAGCCGTGAATCGTGGATCTCTGTCTGATACGAGTTCACGGGGCAACCCATGAAGTCGGAAGATGGTGTCAATAAAGACACAAGCACAGCCACTTGCCGTGATTGTCTCTGGTACAGCCACAAGGTGTACCATTTTGCTGAATCTGTCAACAAATACGAGAATACCCGTATTCCCGCGTGCGTCTTTGGGTAACCCGAAGACAAAATCCATTGAGATGGATTCCCAGCACTCAGCCGGAACCGGTAGAGGCTGTAAAGGTGCACGCAGTGAAGGACTTGACTTCACTCGTTGACAGACTTCGCATGCGCGAACATACTTTCGCACAAACTGATACTGGCGGGGCCAGTAAAAGTCTCGACTCACCGTGAGATGTGTTTTCTCCCGGCCACGATGTCCTCCTATAGGAGCATCGTGATACTCGAAAATGATCCGTAAACGCAGATCAGTATCATCTGTAATGACAACACGTGGTGTGTCACCAGAAACGGCTTTATGATACAGCAACCCGTTACGAGTAGTGTATCGATCTGATGCAGATCGATACGCAGGCGACAATCGTTTCAACGATTCTAGAGATGGTTGTGAGAGTTGTGTCAACATCCTCACTACCTCACCATCTTGGGCGTATGCCCGCCTCACATCATCGTACAACGTTGTAGATGGGACTGAGGACGTCATAACCGCAACAGTGACTGTCTCACTGTTGGGTTTTAGCGAATATTTCAAAGTCGGGACGACGTGAGAGTGCATCAGCGACGACATTAAGTCGTCCTGGTATGTATATCGACCGTAAAGGTGTATTCTGCAAAGAATGACAACCACCGCGCCATTCGTTGTGAAAGGTGCGGGCTGTTCACTGCCGTGCGTAATGACGCACGGTCAGTGTAAACAATGAAGGGTCTATCTCCTAATAGATAGACTCTGAACTTCGCGAGTGCATACTTCATGGCAAGGAGTTCCTTGTCATGCACTGGATAGTTCCGCTCAGCTGGTTGCAGCTGACGCGACTGATAGCAGACGACGCGTTCAACGCCTTCAAGATCGTACTGCATTAATGCACAGCCGATTGCGAAATCGCTGGCATCACAGACCACATGAAATGGCCTGTCCTGATCGGCTATTGCTAGGACTGGGGATTGTATCAAGCTCTGCTTGATACCATCAAAGGAGCGTTGACATTCAGCGTTCCATAACCACCTCTCGTTCTTTTTCAACAAACGAGAGAGGTGCACAGTCATTTCGGCGTAATTGCGTGAATACTTATGCAAATACGCCGCTAGCCCAAGGAATTTTCGAAGACCTTTGACATCAACCGGCACAGGCCAGTCGGTGGTCGCCTTGATCTTTTCGGGATCAGGACGTACACCGTTCTTACCAACGATGCACCCAAGAAGTGGTATTTCGCTTGCTGCAAATATACACTTCTTGAGGTTAGCATACAATTGATGCTTTCGCATGATTGTAAGAACTTGTCGGACGTGGTACCTGTGAACCTCAACGTCCGACTTTCCATCCATAGCTCGACTATGGATGAATACGTCATCGAAATAACTCGGCGCGAATTCTCGTACTGGTCTCAACAGATGTGATACACATCTGTTGAACGTGGCAGGGGCATTACTAAGCCCTTGTGGCATTACTAGCCATTCCCAGAGCATGCCTCTAGGCGTGCTAACTGCGGTATAGGATATATCCCGTTCCCGCATAGGATTTGATAGAAGCCATCCATCAAATCCATGGACGAAAAGATGGTACTCTTTGACATACCATCAATGATTACGTCCTTCCTCGGTATCGGCGTCTGAGCCGGTACCGTTGCAGCGTTCAATTTGTTGAACGCGTGCACTATTCGCCACCCTCCTGTTGCTTTTCGCACACAGAAGGTCGGAGAGCTATGTGGGGAAGTTGATTCCCTCACATGGCCCGCAGCTAAACGATCGGCAAAGAACTTGTCGATCGCAAGTACTTGTTCACGAGGCAGTGGCCACTGCTTCATGACACAGTACTTCGAGCCTTTATATTCACAATTCCTTTTTTCTTTCCTCGGTTGAGCAGGAGAGCCTGACGCGAGATTGCCTCATATATGATAAACGAAAGACTTTTGAGGTGGAATCTCTCGCGCTCTTCGTGAAGAAGACACGATCGCGTCAAAGTACTTGCACGAATCGTTTAAATATCCGCGTAGGTCTAGACCGAAGCATATACATATTGGTGCTGTTGACGTATAACGTGGTCACGGTGAGCAAATCAGCCGCAACGTTTGTAGCCAAAACACAATTAACAGTTTTCAGTGCGGCAAGGTTAGCAAATCGTGCGGCGGTCTGCCGAGCACCAGCACCGATGGCCGAGCATACAAAAATTTCACGACGAGTGTGATGGGGTAGCCTGTTACATGATATTGACACCAAACGGTCTCAATTGGAATATTGTCTAGTATGACAAAACCCTGACAATGTTGCCTGAGGTGGATAATGTCGAAGGAATATTATCCCCTATTAGGATAGTATTCATCCGCTACAAAAAGACTGGCTGATATCGGACATATCAACCACAGATTGCCACCAATAGCTGCTAGACGCGCGCAATTAGTCGTGAGCAGATTGTCGTCATAGGACAATGTAGATTAACATAGTTCGATAATGACTAAAGTTTTATTGTTAGCTTAGCTATATCAAATACAGTTCTATTTTTACCGTTTACTTAAAAGATTCGTTTAGGTAGATTAGCTTCCTCTACACGTACGAGTGTATGTGAAGTTTTGTAGCACCCCAAACAAAGGGTGCCCCGTTGCACCTGGTAGCACTTTGTAGTCCGCCAAACGTCTACTTAGTTTCCGTCCCACATGAACATGTCGGACGTAGAAGACGACAGCTTTCACGTCACACGTGAGGGCTACTCCCATCTGAGTGACTCAGAATGGAAGACAGTCGTCCGCATGAGTGTGCTCATGGGCGAACCCCCCATCAGTGGCATGTTGGAGTCCCTAATCAGAGACCAACAACATGCCGCTATCAACAAGTTCCTACTAGGGAAACTTGCCGTCAAAAGACAGAAGATAGCCTTGCGACAACAGCAAGGCTCTCATCAGTCGATAAGCGAGCCGACGCACACACGTGACCTGAAACCTTAAAAATCGATATTTTAAGGTATAAAGAAGCCGATAAATATTCTCTTTTGAGATGATTCGTCGAGTTAGACAATGCCAGCAGGGCCCGTCACATCGAGGGTGACGAGATGCAAGCCACCTTCGCCCTGTCAAGCTTGACAGGCCGAGCAAAGACTTGGGCCCTAGTGCTCAAGCTTCACGACTTAAACTTGTTTAAGTCGTTGGAGATCTTGAATTCTCGGCTCAAAGAGACGTTTGATCAGCCACGAGCCGAGTTTAGAGCGCGATCTGAACTCCTGTGGCTCAAACAAGGTGAGCGTGATGTGCACGATTACGCACAACACCTACGCTACCTTGCGAGTAGCGTCACGGAAAACCTTGTTGATGAGCACACACTCATCAACGTGTTCATCTACGGCCTTGTAGATGGACCGGTGAAGACCTACATGTTCAAAGAGGACTTCCATACGCTGGAGAAGGCGATAGCGTATGCGGAACAAGAAGACTTCAGCCTGAGACAGTCGCAGGCTAAATCGTCAAATTATCTTCCGACGAGACGACAGGAAACAGGAGGTCCCGAACCAATGGAACGCTTTAACATCAAGAGCGAGAAATCTCGCCCTCTGAGTCACAAGCGAACGGCAAGATGCCATCGCTGTGAGAAGATTGGACGCTACTCTCATGAGTGTAGTTCCCCAGGAACCGCAACACGTCCAACGACAGGACGTGGTGACCGCCGTTGGTCAAGGAAAGGTCCAAGGCGTGGGTCCGACCATGTCGCTAAGCCGCGACAGCAAGTAAAACTGTCAAAAAAGGACAGGGTTAGTAGAGGCGGAGCACCCTGCCGATCCAGCAAAGTCAAGAGAATTTGCAGGCCTCTTGACGAAGATTTCTCTCAACGCACAGTCGCTGTGTGTTAATGCCCCTAGTGGTGAGGAGTCCTTCATCACTTTGAAAATTAGGTGGAAAGCCGAATGTCACTTCGCGCCCTAGTTGACTGTAGGGCATCGAACAGTTTAATTCGACGCCTGTCGCTAGTGGATAGTGGGCTCAACTATGTTAGCGAGAGTTCCCTCCAACGAGGATGACGGTGTGCATTGCTACAGGCGCATCCGTAACAGTGAACAAACGCGTAGTGATAGTTCACTACACGCTAGAAAGAACGCAGTAAGATAATGACTTCATCGTACTAGATTTCGATGACAAATTTGATGTCACCCTCGGTCTGCCATGACTTAGAGCGTAACAGCCATGGATCAGCTGGCAGCATCGATCTGTGAAGATGCCTACCGTTTGCTAATCAGATGTCCATTTGATGAACGTCTTGGAGTGTCCACAAGTGTGTGGATGTACTACGAGTGAGTGCGATGGCCTCACTTGTGGTACGGTCGTTAGTACGACTGCACAAGACCACAGTGTTGCAGGCAACTACACTGTGGAACCAGCTTCCGGCACCTGAGCAGAGACACAGGCTGCGCCGAAGGCTCACCACTCGAAGGACTGGAACACGGATGCACACCTACAAGGGTGCATCCAAGAAGAGAGATTAGTGCTGTTCAAAACGAACATCACGTTGAAGCAAGATCGACTGAAAGAGAGTCGATCGAAGAGGAAGTGACTGTGGTAGTGCACCCACAGTTAGTACGGGTAATGAAAAAAAGTTCCAGCGTTCCTGAGAGTGACAACTCCCGAGAGAGTTATGCTGAGGATGTGGATTCCCAATCACCTGCGGATGTGTTCCTAGGAAAGCAAAGAGACAGTGAATGTCTTGGTGAATGACGGATCAAGTGTAGGCGCTTATACACTTGATCTGGTTATGCCCCCGAAGTCAGCTTCGGAGGTAGTCAAGTTGTTAACGCTAGAATCTATAAGATTCTTGCGATATCTGTGTACTCGTCACAGAGGACGAGTACGTCGCCGATATTCGGTCTGCACAAGTGTTTACTGAGAACGAATGGGTTCTCAGTGGCTCATCGATGGACGAGAGTGTTCACGATGAGAAGACTCGGATCGAGCGATACACGTCTCAATCTTGGGAGTCTTTGAAGACAAAAGTTCTGTAAAAGAAATTGGTTGAATTCAGGGATGTTTTCCCGGTATCCGTGCTATGCGAGCTTCCCAAGGACAAAGGCACTCGGCATGGAATCGAAACGAAACCTGGTTCGAAATACTGTGTCATGAAGCAGTATACACTGCCTCGAGAACAGATAACAGCGATCGAAAAATCTTTGACGATAGCTCAGCGTCTGGTCATGTGAGGGAATCAACGACCCCACGCACCTCTCCGACCTTCTGTGTGCAAAAGGCCACAGGAGGGTGGCGGATAGTGCACGCGCTCAACAAATTGAACGCTGCAACGGTACCGGCTTAGACGCCGATACCGAGGAAGGGCGTCATCATAGATAGTATGGCACAGAGTACCATCTTTTCGTCCATGGATTTGATGGATGGCTTCTATCAAATCCCTATGCGGGAACGGGATATATCCTATACCGCAGTTAGCACGCCTAGCGGCATGCTCTGGGAATGGCTAGTAATGCCACAAGGGCTTAGTAATGCCCCTGCAACGTTCAACAGATGTGTTACAAATCTTTTGCGATCGGTGCGAGACTTCGCACCGATTTACTTCGACGATGTCTTCGTCCACAGCCGGGCTATGGATGGAAAGACGGACGTGGGGGTTCATATGAATCCACGTCCGGAAGTTTCTTGCACTAATGCGTGAGCACAAACTGTTCATAAATCTCAAGAAGTGTATATTTACAGCGAGCAAAATACCACTTCTTGATTGCATCGTGGGTAAAAACGGTGTACGCCCTGATCTGGAAAAGATCAAGGCGATTAGCGACTGGCCTGTGCCAGTCGACGACAAGAGACTTAGAGCGTTTCTTGGCCTAGCGGCGTACTTGCATAAGTACTCGCGCAACTACGCCGAGATGGCCGTTCATCTCTCTCGTTTGTTAAATACAAACGAGAGGTGGTCATGGAGTGCTGACAGTCAGCACTCCTTCAAAGGTATTAAGAAAAACTTGGTACAATCGCCTGTGTTAGCGATAACAGAACAGGACAAACCAATCCATGTGGTCTGTGACACCAGCGCTTTTGCAATCGGCTGCGCGTTAATGCAGTACGACCCAGACGGCGTTGAGCTCATCGTCTGTTACCAATCGCGTCAGCTTCAAGCATCTAAACGTATTTACCCGGTGCATGACAAGGAAGTCCTTGCCATGAAATATGTACTGGCCAAGTTTCGGGCATATCTCTTAGGAAATAGGCCCTTTATCGTTTAAACGACCATGCGTCATTACGCACGGCCGTAAACAGTCCACAACTCTCGCAACAAATGGCGAGATGGCTGTCTTTCTTCGCGGACTTTAACTTCTCCGTCGAGTATAAACCAGAACAACTTAATGTCGTCGCTGATGCTCTTTCGCGTCGTCCCGATTTTTAGCCGAATGCTCAACACAACAGTAGAATTGATCCCACTGTAGCAACACTAACAGTGAGTGTTCCGTCGTCGAATCTACTCGACGACGTGCGAAAAGCATAGGCAGAAGATGAGTCTCTTCTGCAACTAATGGATTGCGCATCCAATCCGTGCAGTAAAGCTTTGAATAGCTTGTCGCCTCAATACCGCTCTTCAACCGAACGGTATTCGGTTCGTGATGGACTGTTGTACTATACAGCAGTCAACGGCGACATACCTCGTGCCGTCGATTCCGGATCATAATGATTTGCAATTGCGCATCATGTATGGGTGTCACGATGCCCCAACAAGTGGGCATCGCAGGCGGGAAAAGACTGACTTCACGGTGAGTCGTGACTTCTAGCAACCACGCCAGTATGTGTTTGAGCGCAATTGCATTCGTGCTTGCAAAGTTTGTCAGCAGGTGAAGCCTACTCCTTAATCCCCTGCGCCCTTGCAGCCTCTACCGATTCCGGCAGGGTGCTGGCAGTCTGCATCGATGGACTTCGTTTTTGGGTTTTCCGAAGCCGCTTACAAGAATACTGGTATTCTTGTGTTTGTTGATCGGTTCAGCAAGATTGCACAGCTTGTTGCTGTACCGGAGTCAAACACAGCCCAAGGATCTGCTCGTGTCTTCATCGATAATATCTTCCGACTTCTCGGGTTTTTCCGTGAACTCGTGTCTGATAGGGACCCATGCTTCACAGCAGAGTTCTGTAAAATCGTGTTCCGTTCACTTGGAAAACGATTGACGATGTCAACTTCTGACCATCCAGAAACAGGTGGTCAGACGAAACGAGTCAACCGCGTCCTCCAAGAGATACTTCGAGGGTATTCCACTCGTTTACGAGGTGGTGTGAGTTCTTGCTGATGGCGAATTTCGCCATCAGCAACTCGGTGCGTGCGTCAACAACGCATACACCGTTCTATCTTGAATGCCCTACGCCATACACTTTTACCTGCCTTCTTAGAGCGTGACCCAAGTTTAATGGGTGGTGGACTCGCTCGAACAAAAACCGATCTGGTTCTTGCTCATCACCCGTCGAAAAAGTGTCGACGTGATGGATGCCGATGTCGATGCAATCGATATCGATGACGATGAGCATGACGACAATGCTGGTGTTTTCAGCATCGCCAGTGACTGCCACGGTGAGGACGATGACACCCTCACTGGTTTAGACACCGTTCTTATTGCAGTGCACACGAAGCACGCTGCTGTTGACAAGGATTAAATAGCAGAGGAATTATGCTGACTCGCGGAGCGGTTGTCCGCTTCGTTCAAGTATCTATTGCAGATGCACTAGACAGACAGAAAAGAAAGCAGACAAACATGGAAGAGCAAATGTTCTTTAATTTGATGCAGGAGATTTGGTTTTACCGTCTACAGTAATTTTACAGAAACACGCAGCGACAAACGTGGGCAGAAGTAAATTACTGCCCAAGTACATCGGTCCATTTTGTGTGTTGCAAGGTATGGGAAACGCATTAACGGTCGAACTGCCTCACGCATCCTACGTTTTACGTTGGAATTCTCCAGCCGTACTATCAGTACGAGCCCGTTTTAGGAGGCGAAGAATTTCTCCACGATTAAGGGCCGAGACCACCTTCGAGTGTTCCCCTTTTAACGAGCCAGTCTGGTAGACTAGCGAAGTGACCTGCTCACGCTGTGGAGCGATGTCTCAACGAGCTGCAGCCAGCTCGTCACGAAGAGAACAAATCGAACGTTCGTTCTCAAGCTGCGTGAACGCAAACGCGGCACGACCGTTCAAACGATCGCGCGTTAGGAAATTGTAATTCTCCTTATATGGCGATCGAGCTCATAAGCACGAGTCCTTTCATAAGCCAGGTCATCGTGTAACTATTCAATTACACGGTTCAGCTCCTGAACATCAAGCTGATCCGACCCTCGAGCCGGATAAGGTGTTCCAGCCACAACCAAATCCTTTGGCGGATTCTGGCGGTGGTCAGCGCTTTCTGGCGGAGCGTTTCTTGAACCACCGCAACGTGTGTGGCGTCCGGACGGGTTACGGCATCCGCTGGAGTGGCTATCCATTTGCCTGGGACAGCTGGGGGCCTCGTGCCCAGCTGATTGTTGATGTTCTGGGTCTCGTCGATCAAAATGACGAGACACACCCGCTGCGTTCGAAGAAAGGCCGTCGGAAATGAGCTTTCGAACGCGAGTACAGGGATTGCAAAGTGCAAAATCCCTTCGGCCATCTCGGAAGAGATGCGCGCCCTCCCGTAGAGAACATCAAGGAGGTAGGCTTCCCTAGGGGCACGGATCGAGGTAGGCTTTCCTAGGAGCACGGTTCCAGGCAACCTGACCACGAAGCACCACAAGAGACAGGGTAATTTTGTCTCTCTTGACAGCCGGTAAAACGTGTATCTTACCCCGACTAAGTTACGCTTCTCATACCTGATGCGAGCTACACAAGCTTACCGAGCCATGCCTCACGGCCAATGCACTCGATTTTATGGATGTGGGCATTCCATCCTTGCACCAAGGCCTTATTGTCTCGTTCATGGCTGCCGTTGTACCACCGATGCTTAAAAACTGCATCGGTGAAGAATTCTTTATCAACACGGATAGTTTCAGTGCTAGAATTAGGTGGAAATCTTTCTGCAATCGAACAACGGGATTTGATTCCGATCGGTAGTCATGCCGGCCACTCGATCTAACTCTTTGGAGGACGACATCCAAGGACACTCCACTTGAGGAGCGTGGTGCAGGACATTTCGGTCCCTGTTCACTTGATTGGTGTCAGCATGAGCACTGACACCACTGACACCTCGATCTCTCGACTCACTTCGCTCTTGGTGATGCATAGATGCATCACCACCATCCCCACACGTCCTATCGTTAGATGGACTCGCGTGAGGTGAGGATTCGCCGGAACAATCGCTCATTCCGAAGATCTCGAGCACGAAACCGCCACGTTGACTAAAGCCAGTCAACCTGGCTCTTACTGTGTCCGCCCCGGGTGATTCGGAGGTATAAGGTGTCGCCTTTGAGTTGAATACATCATCCGACTCGCCAGAATAGATGAGCTCTATTTCAGACCAATCTGGATTACGGTTCCCGGTACCCACTGCAGACGCAGCGGATGTACCTGTCGCACGTGGTGACCCACCACGTGGACTGTTCACAACAACAAGCGACGAATTACCTGCTGCTGAGGTGTGAGAAGTACTCTCTCGGGCTGCACGCATGAGTACAGCCGCCTATCTTGCTGCTGCAGTAGCAACTCGCTTGGGTTTTGAAGCCGTGCGTTGGATTGGCAAATAAAATGGAATTAGACCAACAAGTGCATCCTTTCCTAGAGTGATCCAACGGTGGTCACCCTGTCCCAATCAATTCTGATCTAATCAACAGTTGATTGATGATTAAGGGGGGTGGATGTAACGGGGTAGCCCGCTACATGAAATTGACACTTTACAAGGTCAATAGGGAGATTGTCTAGCATGACCATATATTACCAATATTTTAATCATCCGAGATGGATAATACTGAAGAAAAATTATCCCCTTTTAGGATAATATTCATGCGCTACTCAAAGATTGGTTAATAAAAGACATATCAACCATAGATCACATCCAATCGCTGCTGGACGCGCGCAATGAGTGGTGAGCAGGTTGTCGTCATACGACAACGTAGTTTGAAACAGCTAGCTCAAAATTGAAGTTATATTGATAGCTGAACCATATTTTATACAGTTCTCTTATATCCCTTTTCTCAGCTTTGTCGTTGCGTAGATTAGCTTCCTCTGCACGTACTAGTGTACGTAAAGTTTCGTGGCACCTAGACAAAGGGTGCCCCGTCACAGCACTTCTCCAGAGGCTACATGTATGCCGCGTTCGTGCCAACCGCTACCGCTGACGGGCATTCGATACTGAAACACAATTGACCTCGCGATGCTTGTATATTGTAGCTGTCGCAAAATCACTGGTGCTGACATCCAAAAATGTGCAAGGGATCGGCCTTTCGCGCCTTTCGCGAAGATGTGGAGGCAAAGACAGGTCGTGTACGTCATTCCGAGGCTGCATGGGAGCCCCATCCATCGTAGAATAGATCTCCCTATATTTAAAGCCGTGATGCGGCTGTGTGCTGAGCAATTACAGACTACAATGTCGGATCCAGCTGGCGCCGGACATCAGCATGGTAACAGTGACACCTGGTGTCGCTGTATGATGGTTTGGAAAACCTCCCGCTCCTCGTTTTCGCGAGATTAGATCGCCATGCCTCACCCCCTCCAATGTATTAGCTTTAACTTGGTTAGGGTGCAGTAATAAAACTGATAACGCGTACTCTGCTCGCTGGATGAGACCCCAACCATGTAAGAAGACGTGGACGGAAAGAGACTTGTAAAAAGGGATACAGGGGTGCTTAATTTAAAGTTACTTTCGTGGCAGGTCTACCCAGAAGACTGTAAGTAAATCGTGAAAATGGAGTTTTACAGAGCCACGGCTTCTAGGCTTACCGCAATGCTGACGACAGCTTTATTTTCAAGGAGAGCCGAGACCTTGCCATTCGTCGGCGTGTGCAGATTTTGTGCATAGCCTGAAGAAGGCGGATATGGGGCATACACACTATCCCGCGGAACCTCGTTTGCTACGAGCACTCAACCTGTTATATGAGTTTGACATTCTCGACCTTAATAATGTCTGCACACCTTGTATCTACGTCTCTTCAGGTGGCAGTACAAACAGGGGCTTCCCTGACACGCACTCCAAGAGGAGGCAGCAGAGTGACCACGTATGCATGGCGGAGCAGAGCAAGTATGCGCTACCACTCTAAAGCATGATACGCGACGGTCTGCACGTCAAAGCGAACACAACCGTACACATTAAGCAGCTGCTACGGCCCACCAACTTTACTGATGACCAGCAAGACAACGACGTTGACCGTCGACGGTTAATTTAAGAAACTGCAGAATTTGGCTAAACCTAAATTTATGTCTTGATATCTGTGCGGATGGGTCCCAGGTCATCGTGGAGAAAGGTTAGTTCTCCGCAGATACGTGTCGCCATTTTCTGTACGTCTCGTAAAGGCACAGGTGGTGCAACTGTTGGCTTTGCTTCAGTCTGCGTGTAAGAGACAAGTGTGCGTAAGTCTTGTTCTGCAGACTGAATATTACTATCGTGCTCACGCTAACTCCTGCTCCTACTTGAGCAAACCTCACTCGCAGCTTCAAGCGACTCTTCGCGTCCTGCGACCCATCGTCTGTCACCTATTATGCAACGACGCAGTGCGTACATTTAGAAAATTTACTCCTTCCAGCAGCAACAAGGCCACACCATGTTCACGCATATCCTCCGCTTACTACTCTCCAGAATACTACGAGCTTGCAATCAAATAAATTGTGAGCCTTCAAGTGCTGCCTGCGGTTTTTAGCTGCAGCAATCATTTCCGAGTAGCCCAAGCTACATGAAACACCGCACGCTACAGACTTCATCGTCATAGTTCAAGCACACGAGGTCCAGGATTTCCAGCATGGTACGAAGGTGATATTACTCCTCGAAGCTTTCACCAAAAGCACCATTAAAAATGAGCAGCTACGGCAGCAGCACTAAAGATAAAGGAGAGAGAGAGCGATACAGAGTTAGCGTCCTCACGTCTATCTGACAAGTACAACGGTCGATCAAGTACCGGCACAAATTCCAGCCGTGTCGCAATCACTAATTTGCCGCATCGGGGCCGCTTTCCGCTCACCAAATGCAGTCAGACATACGAACTTAATAGCCAAGTGGCTATCGATGGGAACGTCCAAAGCGCTGATAGAGGAAGAAACGAGAGAAAAGAGAAAGAGAGAGAGGAACGTGGTAGAAGAAAAAACATATTGGAGACGACTAAGCAAAGATCGTGGGCTGCGGACGTACTGCGTAATGGCGGCTGAGGTACCGCTGCCAAATGCGATTGCGACCATCGAGAAGCAGCGTATGGCCTTATATTAGCGATTTCATCTGTCAAGAGCTCCACTAATTTTAAGGTAGAAAGCATGAGAGAAAGATCCTAGAAGATACGCATCATAGGGAACTCGGTACCATGTGTCTTGATTAAACACACGGGATGGTATCCCACTAAAATAGATACATATTATAGGTTTACAGGGGCTGAAGGGGATCAGCCACAAGATAGTTAAGATCTTTGCAAAAACATGGGTGCCCGGATGTAATGATAGTAGTATTGAGCTATAATGTAGAGTCATAGCTTAATAAATCAGTTTACCTTTTGAGCTTGTTGAAAACACGTGCCTTGCGAGGCGTCTCTAGTTGTAAAACGTTAAGAGCTAGCAAAACTTATCTAAGGTCGCTGCTCTTGAGCACTTAGTGCTGTAGATCTAATAAATCGTTCGGTTTCCTGGGCCAGGGACCTTAAGCTTTACACTTGTGGACTCAAAATGTTTAGCTCTTTACAATTAATTTCGTTCATTAGGCTCAAGGATTTTTTTACTCAAGGAGCTGTGTAGCCCCGTTACACGGGTAGCAATTGTAGGTAATCTGCGCCTAATTCTTTTAATACTGCTCCTCTGTAAGGATATTGAAAACCATTCCCCTTTTTTAGGCTTAAAAGGTCGCGCTTGATAAGCTGACCGCATCTTTGGGTCCAGAGTTTGTGGGAGCTCTTAAATCGCAAGTACAGGAGATGTTACGGGGTAAATCGTTACATAACAATTTATAAGAGATTGTTAATAGAATATGACTATAAGAGTTATATTCTCAGAATATTGTCATAAGGACAAATATTCTGTAGCACTTACGAGTAGTTCCTAATTGGTTGATATAGGCCATTATATCAACCAACGAAGACGCGCCACGACAGACGCACGCATTGAGTGGTGAGCAGATAGTTGATATACACATTTGTATTCAGACATAGTTAGATGGAGATAAATAGTGATTTATTGCAGACATTAACTATGCTAAATACAGTTCTACTTTTTACTTTAACCAAGTACTCGCTTCTTCTTACCGTCTTCCTCTGCACGTACGAGTGTACGTGAAGTTCCGAGGCACCGCCTTATTCTGTTATCAGAATAAGTAGCTTGTACTGTCATCAGTACAAGTTTAGGGTGCCCCGTTACACCTGGTAGCACTTCGTAGTCCGTCCAAGGACCACGTTCACATCCAACATGAATATGTTGGATGATGAAGATGACCAAAGCTTTCACGCTACGCGTGACGGATACTCCCATTTGAGCGATGTCGAATGGGATGCGGTTGAACGAATGGGTTCAACCATGGGCATCCATGCTGTTAGCGTCATGCTAGAGGCTCTCAATAGATATGCCCAACATGCTACTATCGCCAAGTTCATTCAAAATGACTTTGACGCTGAACGCGAGAAAGTAGCCTTGCTTCACCAACAAGGTTCTCAACAAGCAGAGTTGTTGAGAGAACAGGGTGCTTAACAGTTTGAACTGTTGAGACAGCAGCAGGCTGCTGCTGTTGGGTCGATGCACTCGCGTCGACCCAAAACCTTGAAGATTGACATCTCCAAGTATGGGGGAGTCGAAGAGGACTCCCTCTTGAGATGCTTCGTCGAATTGGATGACGCCATAAGGGCGCGTCGCATCGACGACGGGGATATGCAAGTTGCATTTGCCCAGTCAAATCTGGCAGGACGCGCCAAGACTTGGGCACTGGGGCTCAAGTTGCACGACCCATATGCGTTTGGGTCGTTGGAAGTCTTCAAGTCGCGGCTCAGACAAACGTTTGAACCGCCTAGAGCTGAGTTCAGAGCTCGAACCGAACTCTTTAAGCTCAAACAGGGTAAGCGTGATGTGCACGCTTACGCGCAACATATACGACATCTTACGAGTTGTATAAGTTCCAATCCGGTGGATGAACACACGTTAGTTTCGGTGTTCATGCAGGGTCTTGCGGATGGTCCCGTCAAGACTCACCTGTTCCGGCTTGAACTAGATTCACTAGAACAAGCCATTTCCATTGCGGAACAGGAAGACTTCAGTCTGAGACAGGCTCGCGCCAGCTCGACATCATATCGTCAACCGAGACGATATGACAACGGAGGTCCAGAGCCGATGGAACTCTGTTTTGTAGAGAGCGAGAAGGCTCGCTCTACAGGCTACAAGAGGTTGCAGAAATGCAACAGATGTCAAAAGACAGGACACGACGCTTACGAGTGTAGTGCCCCTCGTCCAGTGTCTCGCAACACTGGGCGTAGTGACCGCCCACCCATCAGAAAGGGGCAGGGACGCGGGTTCGCTGTTGGTGCAAAGACGCAACAACGGGATGGACCGTCAAAAAACGGACAGGATCAGTAGGTGCGGAGCACACTACTGGTCCAGCAACGTCAAGAGAATTTGTAGGCCTCTTGATGAAGGTTGCTCCCAACACACAAACGTTGTGCGTTGCTGCTATAGGTAATGAGATCTCACTCATTACCTTGAAACTCGAAGTGACGAATAAGTTGTCCCTTCGAGCTCTAGTCGATTGTGGGGCGTCCAACAATTTTGTGCGACGCCAATCGCTAGAAGATGGTCACTTCAAGTTCAGTGAATGTGACACACCTCCTACGAGGATGACGGTACGTCTTGCGACAGGCGCATCCGTAACCGTCATGAAGCGTATAGTGAAGATCCACTATACGCTAGAAGATACCCAATATGACGATGACTTTATCGTATTGGATTTGGATGACAAATTTGATGTCATCCTTGGAATACCGTGGCTCAGAAGGTACGAACCACGGGTAAACTGGCAACATCGAACAGTAACGATGCCTGCCGCTTGTTCATCAGATGGCCACCTGATGAACGTTTTGGAGCGTCCACAAGCGTGTGGATGTACTACGAGTGAGTGCGATGGCCTCACTTGTGGTACGGTCGTTAGTACGACTGCACAAAACCTTAGTGTACCAAACGGTTACACTTCGGAGCAAAGTTCCGGCGGCTGTGAGGAAACACAGGCTGCGCCGAAGGTCCACCACTCGAATAAGTCGAGAGGACCGGGACAAAGATGTATCCCTAGCGGGGAACATCTAGAAGAGAAACAATAGATCGCTCAGGTTAAGCGAAACGATAATCCTAGATCGACTGGAGAGTCTTTCGTAGAGGATCTCGCTGTGGTTGCACAACCCCAGCTAGAGGAAATAAAGGGAATAAGTCCCAAGATTACGAATATGGCGGAAATAAGTTCCCTGAAACCCGCGGGAATAAGTCCCCGGGAAGCCGAAGGAATAAGTCCTTCGAAGCCTGAGGGAATAAGTCCCCCGGAAATGACAGAGACAATAAATGTCCTAGTCAATGACGGATCAAGTGCAGGCGCTTTTTCACTTGATCTGATTGCGCCTCCGAAGTTGACTTCGGAGATCACTCAGTTGCCAACGCTCGAACATTAAAGGTTCTTGCGTGATCTGCGTAGTGGCAAAGTCAAGCAGATATGCGTACTCGTCGCTGACGACGCGTTTGTAGCCGACATAAGGTCAGCAACAATGTTTACTGAGAACGAGAAAGTTCTCAGTAGTTCATCTATGGATGAGAGTGTCCTCGATGAAAAGACATGAATTGAGCAATATGACTCCCAATCGTGGGAATCGCTCAAGACAAATCCTCTCTATGAAGATTTGGTTGAATTCAAGGATGTATTCCCTGAAACTGTTCCGTGCGAATTACCGAAGGATAAAGGTATTCGACACGAGGTCGAGCTTAAACCAGGCTCGAAGTACTGTGTCATGAAGCAGTGGCCACTGCCTCGTGAACAAGTACTTGCGATCGACAAGTTCTTTGCCGATCGTTTAGCTGCGGGTCATGTGAGGGAATCAACTTCCCCACATATCTCTCCGACCTTCTGTGTGCGAAAAGCAACAGGAGGGTGGCGGATAGTGCATGCATTTAACAAGTTGAGTGCTGCAACGGTACCGGCTCGGACGCCGATACCCAGGAAGGACGTAATCATTTATGGTATGTCAAAGAGTACCATATTTTCGTCCATGGATTTGATGGATGGCTTCTATCAAATCCTTGTGCGAGAACGGGATATGCCCTAGACCGCAGTGAGCACGCCTAGCGGCATGCTCTGGGAATGGCTAGTAATGCCACAAGGGCTTAGTAATGCCCCTGCCACGTTCAACAGATGTGTATCACATCTGTTGAGACCAGTACGAGAATTCGCGCCGAGTTATTTCGATAACGTAATCATCCATAATCGGGCTATGGATTGAAAGTCGGACGTTGAGGTTCACAGGTACCGCGTCCGACAGGTTCTTACAATCATGCGAAAGCATCAATTGTATGCAAATCTCAAGAAGTGTATATTTGCAGCAAGCGAAATACCACTTCTTGGGTGCATCGTTGGTAAGAAGGGTGTACGTCCTGATCCCGAAAAGATCAAGGCGATCACCGACTGGCCTGTGCCGGTTGATGTCAAAGGTCTTCGAAAATTCCTTGGGCTAGCGGCGTATTTGCATAAGTATTCACGCAATTACGCCGAAATGACTGTGCACCTCTCTCGTTTGTTGAAAAAGAACGAGAGGTGGTTATGGAACGCTGAATGTCAGCGCTCCTTTGATGGTATCAACTGGAGCTTGATACAATCCCCAGTCCTAGCAATAGCCGATCAGGACAGGCCATTTCATGTGGTCTGTGATGCCAGCGATTTCGCAATCGGCTGTGCATTAATGCAGTACGATCTTGAAGGCGTTGAACGCGTCGTCTGCTATCAGTCGCGTCAGCTGCAACCAGCTGAGCGGAACTATCCAGTGCATGACAAGGAACTCCTTGCCATGAAGTATGCACTCGCGAAGTTCAAAGTCTATCTATTAGGAGATACACCCTTCATTGTTTACACTGACCGTGCGTCATTACGCACGGCAGTGAACAGCCCGCACCTTTCACAACGAATGGCGCGGTGGTTGTCATTCTTTGCAGAATACAACTTTACGGTCGAGTACAAACCAGGACGACTTAATGTCGTCGCTGATGCACTCTCACGTCGTCCCGACTTTGAAACAGTCGCGAAACCCAACAGTGAGACAGTCACTGTTGCGGTTATGACGTCCTCAGTCACATCTACAACGTTGTATGATAATGTGAGGAGGGCATAAGCCCAAGATGGTGAGATAGTGAAGTTGTTGACACATCTCTCCCAACCATCTCGAGAATCGTTGAAACGATTGTCGTCTGCGTATCGATCTGCATCAGATCGATACACTACTCGTAACGGTTTACTGTATCATAAAGCCGTTTCTGGTGACACACCACGTGTTGTCATTACAGATGATACTGACCTGCGTTTGCGGATCATGTTCGAGTATCACGATGCTCCTATAGGAGGACATCGTGGCCGAGAGAAAACATATCTCACGGTAAGTCGAGACTTTTACTGGCCCCGCCAGTATCAGTTTGTGCGAAAGTATGTTCACGCATGCGAAGTCTGTCAACGAGTGAAGTCAAGTCCTTCACTGCGTGCACCTTTACAGCCTCTACCGGTTCCGGCTGAGTGCTGGGAATCCATCTCAATGGATTTCGTCTTCGGGTTACCCAAAGACGCACGCGGGAATACGGGTATTCTCGTATTTGTTGACAGATTCAGCAAAATGGTACACCTCGTGGCTGTACCAGAGTCAATCACGGAAAGTGGCTGTGCTTGTGTCTTTATTTACACCATCTTCCGACTTCATGGGTTGCCCCGTGAACTCGTATCAGACAGAGATCCACGATTCACTGCTGATTTCTGGCGTTCCGTGTTCAAATCACTCGGAACCCGCTTGAAGATGTCAACATCTGATCATCCAGAGTCAGATGGTCAGACGGAACGTGCCAATCGTGTCCTTGAAGAGATACTTCGAGGATACGTACACTCCTTTAAGAGTTGGAGTGAGTTTTTGCCAATGGTAGAGTTTGCCATTAACAACTCGGTGCATGCGTCCACGACACATACACCGTTTTACGTGAATGGCTTACGCCATCCGCGTGTACCCACCTTACTAGAGTGTAACTCTGGATTAAGGGGGGGGGGACTCGCGCGAGCAAAAACCGAATTGGTTCACGCTCATCACGCTCTGACGAAGAGGTCATTGCGTTTGATGCCGATATCGATAACATCGATATCGAAGAAGATGATGCCAGTGAGAGTGCGGAAGCCCTCACTCACTGAAGAAAAGGTTGATGTTGCTGCAGTGCGCTCACAGCGCACTGAAGCTAACGAGTCATCAGATGAGTTCATACTGGCTCGTGAAACGGTAGTCCGTTTTGTGCAAGACTCCATCGCCGAAGCGGTGGATAAGCAAAAGCAAAACGCTGACAAGAATGGAAGGGCAAACACTCTTTTATTTCATAAAGGTGACTTAGTCCTACTATCTACGGTTAATCTACCAAAGCATGTAGTGACTAACTTGGGTAGCAGTAAACTACTACCCAATTACATCGGTCTACTTCGTGTATTGCACCGCCTAGGCAATGCATACACGATCGAGTTGCCACGTAAGATGCGAGCGCATCCCACGTTTTACGTTGGTCGGCTTAAGCCGTACCATCAGTACGCTGCTTCTTCCGATGAAGAACGCCCTCGCGCTCAAGCATCTCGCAGAGAGCCTTGTGCTCCCGATGGTGTGCATGGACAAGGGTCTGAAGAGCAGTTATCTCAGCCCGAGACCGATCAACAATCCCACGAGCTACCCTTAGCTCGTCACGCAGAGACGTCAGAGCTCTCTCGTTCTCAAGCTGAGCAAAGGCAAACTCAGCTCGATGCTTCAAGACAGTGTCCGCCATTTGGAGACGCCTGTCCCGCTCATGTTCGAGATCACCGCGTAACCCTTGCGTTACGCGATCAAAGAAGCTCTCGGGAACACACGGATCCCCACGATCGTGTGGAGAGCGTCTTTCCTCCTCCTCCACCTCCATTAGAGGACTCTCGCGGTGGCCAGCGCTATCTAGTTGAGCAGCTGTTGAAACACCGCGACGTGAACGGACGTCGGACGAGTTATCTCGTCCGGTGGCGCGGCTATCCCCCGTCCTGGGATACTTGGAAGCCCCGCTCCCAACTGATGGTTGACGTACTGGGTCTGGTTGAGCAGTACGACGCGGCACATCCTGTGCCGCAGAAGGAACGCCGGAGAAAGTCTTCCCGGCACGGTCGTACAGGGATTTCAAGTTGTCAATCCCTTCGTACATCTCAATAGAGATACGTACGCGCCACCACAGGCTAGTAAGGAGGTAAGCCTCCTTAGGTGCTCGTGCAGAGTTGTTCACACAACATGGGCACGAGTCTCCCCAGGAGAGGCAGGGTAATCCTTTCTCCCTTGACAGACGATGCAGCTTGTAGC